ATTATATCAAATATGTCCAGTATATCAATTATATCAAATATGTCTGATATGTTTAATATTTAGATCTGCAATATACTACGCCACGTTCATCAATCCAATCCTGTTACAGTAGTAGACACTATGTTTCGTGCCAGTTTCTAATAACAGATTAGAATTAGAATTACATTTCTTATTTATTAATTTAATGAATACCTACCATAAAATTTTCACGTAATTATTTTGGTAACTTCTTTATTATATTCAATTCATCTGCAATAACTTGACTACCCAGTGAAACCTTTCATGTTAATTCGTCTGTAGATACCTGATTTACAGCTGAGAACAAATGTTGATAAAGAGTTGATGTGTTATTTTTAAGTTTAGATTTCAACTTATTTATATTGCTTCTGATTTGAGCCAAATTAAGAGGTTCTTCTTCATTTACTTTTACAACTCCAATGGCTTACAAATTAAAAATAGTTTTATATGAAATGTCAAACTAACGCAGACATAAAGTAATTAGTTTATACCCATACAAATAATATTATTTTCAGAGGTGCATATGCTGTCAGATTGTAAACAAGATTTCATTTTTATGAGGTTAGCTACTCCATCACGCAAACAAAAATCTTGTGCAATGCTAAAATATCAACACAAAATTAAGTATGTATATATAGCTTAAAGAACTCTCCTGCTGTCGAGGAAAATCCTGTTGGTAGGCTATAGGGAACTTAAACTATTATGCCCTCTTCCTTAGTGGCATTGCTGTCTGCATCTTTTTCATCCAAAATTAATATTTTATAGAAAGCTGTCATCAACTTACCTCTGAAAGAATTTCTAGAAGAGTTGTATGACGTGAAGAACCTCAAATATTTTGATTATTTGTGAAAGTTACTACCTGAGATATAATACTCCTCAGCTTATCCTTTGATACTCATGAGTCATCTTCAATCTCTTGATAGATGACGAAAGTGTCAGTAATATGCTCCTCTTCTGCATTTACTAAGAAATTATAAATTTTAATAGATAAATAAGTATTCATGCTAGAAAAAATAAAAAGCGACAAATAACTTTATTTCTATATATTTGCCCTTTTAAATCTCCATTCATACCCTCTCTAACTTGCATTTATGTTGGGGAAAAATAAGAAAAATATGCAAGGCACTTTATGCTAAAATTTTATGTTCGTTAATAAAAAACATGTAGAATGTGTATTAAAGATCTTAACATTTACAAAGGGCATTGGAGATAATGCATATATGAACTTTTTTTTTCATCTGATTGCTTAATACTAAGACCTGACAACGTTATATAAATATGTTCAGTTTAGAATATAATAGTAATAGCCTGTAACTTTAGAGCAAATATATATATTAATAAATGCTATTTCGCTAAATCTTATTCTGCTAAATATTGTAAGGAAAAAATTCGAAATATTTTGAGGATCAGTTTATGTGTGAAATTATTTTATCACACAAGCATATTTTTACAGATTATTTACAGAGTATCACCTATTACATCATATGTACTTTAACGAGAATCGAAAACGTGCTAATTTATGTCACACACACTAACATGCATTGTGACTGAACAATATATTATTTTATTAAGACAATATTCGGGATCTGAGTCAAGGACTGATCTGGAAAATTCAGCACACAAACTCACAATTATTATCCAAATCTGAGAAATTCACGATAACATTCTTTCCATGAATATAGTATAGGAATTCTAATAGTAGGAATTGGGATATTCTTTGTATTTCTGTCGATTTACTCCTATATTTTTCACAATCTGAAATTCTAATGATATTTTCAAAGTTATATTTTTTATTAATATGATAATATTTGGGATTCTGTAACCATTTTAACATGTCAAACCAGCCTGTACTTATAATAACTATATAGCCTTGCTGATATAATACTCTAAAAGTAGCTATGTATGCTACAGTATCTAATCGTCTATATAACTAATTTCTTTTTGCTTCTGTTCAAGTAGTAGCAAAATAAATATTATACTTATTTTCTGCATAAAATTGATCACTTATATAATTAGATTCTATTAGTTTTCCATTAATAAAATGATATGTTTTACTATGAGGAACAATATCTAAAAATTTCTTATTATCAGGAGTACCATCATTTCTCACCACCTTCCAAACCTGTTTTGCTAAAGACTCGGGTTTTTTTTTGTAATTTCTGTAAGCTTGCTGGATAACTACTGCATAAAAATTCTCAAACTGATAGTTATATTGTCTCGCAATCAAAAATCCCCAAGATCGCTTCATTAATTTTCCTGAACTTCTCAAAAAATACTTTATTAAAATAGTTATAGATTAGAGGATCTAACCTAAAATAGGTAGATCATGCATAGCGTCTACAGATGATACATTTCATGCATAGTGTCTTCAACCAATTTTACTAGACGATCATGCATGCAGATTATATAGTTATCATTTCGCAAAAAATAAAGTATAAGCTATGTTTGATTAAATATAATTAAGATACATAATGTTAATATTTGATTGAAAGATATTGCAAAGCGCCTTATTGGCTAATGGCTAAGTCTATTTTCTTTCTACATTTTTCTGCACAGAATTGAAATATGCTTCAATAAGATCGCCTGAAGTAGTTCTGCTAGAAATATTAGACATATTTGATTGATCATTCCAAAGATTTCTAATCTCAGATATACTTGCACTACGTTGCTTAGCAGGTAAAATATAAGCTGGCTCAAATTTTGGAGTACTTAGCATAGTATTTTTTGCTACAGTTGCTTTAGATTGTGCATAATTTTTATAGCTAGCCGTAAAATTCCTATCATGATCATATGATACCGATGCCAACTTATTCTTTTCTGAGTGTGAAGTAAACTGGGAAAAAAGCTCTAGACGAAGATGATTAATTTTAGCCTCTTCTTATAATATGTATTGTTTATATTGCCAGATCTGAAATTCCCTTTTATCAATAGATTGGAGAATTTCTTTTCTTCTCGCATGATCATTTGAAATAGTATTTTCAGAAATACATCTCTTTAAGTAGCTATCATGATAGATACGAGGATTATAGTCAGTTCCAGGTATGAAAACTAAGGAGTCACATACATTACAATAAATATAATCAGTTGGATAACCATTGTGAAACTTATCATTTTCATAAAGCTTTCCATACATTATAATATATCCATTCTTAGAAAGGATTCTTGGATTCTTTTTAAGTATTTTCCTAAATGGATCACAGATACGAGAGTACTACATTTCTGGTATTTTGTAATCACGTCTTTTTGTTAAAGGCAATATTGCATCAAGTATTCTTATATATTCTTCAGAACCTCCATAAGTATTATTTTCATTAATTAGCTTAGAATAGGCTTTACTATCTAAATACATATTAGCCTTTTAGTAGATTATAATAATTTTTAGTGATTTATAGTGTTTTTAGCAATTATTTAGCAACTTATACTAGATAATATCATCATTCAAATTTATACAGATTTATGCTCCCTTGTTTTATCAAATTACAGAAGAGAATCAGATAAAATTTTTTCTTGACTTTTTTTTCAAAAATATATTTAGTAATATCCCGAAATCTTTGATTGAGGGGGCAGATTTGTAGCTGATTTGGTGGACTACATACTGTTAAACTCAAATTCATTTTTAGTCCTTGTTCAAGTGAAAAACAGATTCATAATTTTTCCTGATGTTATGATTCGACTAAACTATAAAATTTATAACACGTGATCCTCTAAATCCCTGACAGTTCTACAACAATTCTACAATAGTTCTAGGATAGTTCTAGGAGAGTTTTGAGCGTTGGCAAGTTTCTATAAATCATGAGATGATCGGCCAATCAGATTTCGATTAATCTATACAAGATATTTATTTCTAGACATGAATCGAATTTTTAGTTATATATGAAATCATTAAGTTCTTAAGGGTCATAAATTAAAAAATCAAATAGCCTGATATAGACAAGCTTTATTATTTTTTTTTATTGATACAGAGCATTTATAAAAATGAATCTACTGACCTATCGATCAGCAAAAGGCATGTGACTGTGGTGCAGTAAAATTACTCAAATGCTTTTTTTATAGTATCGATCTTATCCTAATCTAACTTAGAAATTCTCAATGCAGAATATGATACACGTTGTATTTTATCAATCCCAATCCTATTAAAGAGGTTATAAATCTTCCTTACCCTTTCTACTCTCTTCTCAATTGCATTTTGGGATCATTAGAAAGTTATTTTCTACTTCATCGTTTAATTTTTTCTGAGCCATACGCTCACTATACATAATTTTATAGAAGGCAAGCCTATTCTCAAGTTCCTTGCCAAACGAATAATAAGCTCTAATAATTTCATGATTATTGGTCATAGTTCTTCTTTCAGCCTGAATAATTGCTTCATGTAAATCAGTAAAACTCCCTGGAGCTTCGAGTTGCGATTCTGAGTTATCCTCAACAGAACTTGGTAAAGTTTTCAACTCCTCAATAAGTTTTTTCAGCATAGGCAATGCATCTTTCAATCTCTTTTTAGTTCTCACTTTTTTCTACTAGAGGTATCCTCCACACGTGCCTGCTTACAAATTCATTCGAATTATTTGAGACTTCTTCTAAAAGTAAAAATGGATCATTATCATCAACTACGCCACATAAGCAGGGTAAGGCATCACGATTATTTACTTTGTTAGCATAAGTCCAATGGATAACGTCACCACAAACATTTATAATGAGCGATCTAGGCAGATCTTCTGAAAAAATAGACATATCACAATCTCTGTACAGTCTATTATCAAGAATAGCATTGTTCGTTTTAAATGACGAAAAATCTAGTTCTTCATAAAGAATATCCTCTGGGAGGTATTTTAATATATTTAAGGCAAATATTTTTAGAGATCTATTGCAAGCTGGTTGCACATTATTGCTTTGAGTAGAGGTAGTGGGTATAACCAATGAAGTGTTTATGATATCCTCAATATCCTCTATACCATCCATATTAATATCGTTGGCAGTGATCTTTTTTACATCAAATGGAGCTTCCATTATGCTCTCTTGGTTCTCTATACCCTGCCCACTCATTACTCTTGTAGTCTGAAAAAAATGTCGCTAGTTTGCTTAAACAGACATTTTTATAGCACTTGAAATTCACAGGAAAATAGATTCTTCAGATCTGATTCGGTCTCTTGCAACTCTCCCTGAAAATCTCCATTTAATGACACATGCATTTTATCATTACGTTAATCCCCCTTGTTAATCCTCAAATCTCATATGTGAAATAAAGATTACTAAAGAAAGAAGGTCCCAAATTTTGTCAAAAAGGCTTATTTTATTTATTATGATACAAATGAGTTCATTAGGGCCTTGATTATTTTTCATCACCAATGACTCCAAGCTGTAGGTCTCTTTTTGGTTATTCTCTTATCAATATAGAGCGAAGCATAAAGAATGGATAAAAAATATTCCACACTACATGATTTCATTATTATTAAGTAAGCATGGTTTCCAACTGACGCTTTATTTCCTGCTTTTCCTTCATTAAATTATCAGAAAAGTAGATAGAATATGTAGTATTTTTTTTGCGAGGTTTGAGAAAGAAAAGGGAAATAGGATGAAAGAGTTATTATGTATGATTCCAGATTCGCATTTAGATACAGCAAATAAATGGAGTGACTTCGAGACTTACCTGCCAGAAATTGTCTAATGGAACCTATTCCATTTCAACACTCCACTTAAATCATTTTTAATCTTATACGAGGAGAACGAACGCTTATTTTTTTCCTTGCACTCTTTAGCAATCATTTGCGAGGTTTTCTTTGAAGCTTTGAGTTCATAACAAATTTGCAAAAAAAAACTCGAAACTAATATATACAGACTGGCGTGATTGCTAATTTGTCAGATAATCTTATTACTGCACTACTATCACATGACTTTCACTGACCAATTGGACAGTAAATCAAAGAAAAAAATCTTTATCTACAATAATTTGAAATAGAGACTGGCAAGAATTTTCCCGATATCATACTACACATTTCAGGTGATCAGTCTCATATGACAGAATTTCTATGCTACAATTGTGAATTTGAATTTATTGTCTGAAATGAAACAAATAAGACAATATTCTGTTCCATTTTTATACCATTTGCCATGTAATCCATAATTCTCATGTTTTCCATTGCAAATAGGACATGATGAACTCCACAGTTAAGGTGATGAAAGATTATAATTATTAATTCCTTTGAAGCTATTTTGGAATTTCAAGTATGTGAAATGTTCTAAAACAGACTTGATAATTAATTCTGGATCGGGTTTGACTTTGAAAATGATGGGCCCATTTTCTTTACATTACTCAGGAAAGATAAATAGGATGCTTTGTTTTCTGGCTTCGAATTTACAAGAAGACTGGCTTCTAATGCGTGCGCTTCTGATAATTGTCATGGCTTATACTCAGTTTCTTTTTTATATTTTTTTGTATAAATTGGAACGAATCTTATCCGTCAAAATGCATAATAAATCAGTTAATTTGGCAAGCCAATCCAGATACTCAGGGTTAATACTTTATCAGACTTACTCATATTGCCTTTTTATATGATTGCAAATCAATTTAAATTACAGTAGGTAATAGCTGACATAAATTAGCCCTATAAAAAAATAAAAAATATCATAGTGAAGTGTGAGCAAATGTAGTATTATAAAATAATGAGACTATGCAGTTATCTCAATTTCACGCTGTTCACATTTAATAAAGTAAGATCTGGCTTTATATCTACCTTCTATGCTTTTCTCATCATCATGATCTAAACTGCATAATGGACACAATGTCTCATTAGTAATCCCATAATAATCAAAATTTTCACTACTAAATTCTCTATATAAATTAGGATATTGATCTAATGTCTTGTTTCTAAAATAGGATCTGTCATAAGTTGACTTAGATTGGAATGCAAATGATACACTTGCCGATGAACTCACTCCCAATGAATTCATTTGCACTTCAGTCTTATTGGTTTTTGAAGTCACATGTCCATTTCAATTTAGAACGAAATTTTCATAACCTACATCATCCGTATTAGTAGCTTTTTTGGGAAAATCATTTATAATGTCCTGGATCTGGTTATCAGATAAATTCAAAATGGCACTTGTATTACAGCTAATTATTTAGATTCTATTTATTCCTATCCTATCAAACAATATATAGATTTTTTTAGCTCTGAAAGTTATTTTACACAAGTTTACATTAGTAATGTCAGAAAGAAGGGGTTTGATTTCGCTGTACATCAATGTTCTTACTGATTTGTCATCAACACTATTCTTAGACTTAATATTCCCAACTCGATCCTCATATGCTTTATAGTAAAAATACTAGTATAAAATCTCCTTACGTCTAAGCTTTATTGTTACTCTAAATAGATTAACTATATTCTGTGCCGTAACTTTACTAGATCCCATCAGAATTACTTCTAAAGAGAGCTCAGGAATCTGAATATCAAACGTCTTATTAATCTTACTATCACTAACTTCAGTAGAGGATAGTTCCTGTCTCAAATTTTGCTCTACTTTTTGATTATAAGGAATTTTTTGACACTTCGTATCTATGTTTTCAGAAGTCTCCACTATAGATAATTTTACTAGTAATGTCCTAACAGATGATTTGTTACCAGAGGTGACTGGAATCGATTCTTTGACTACCTATTCTGGGAGGGTTATAGGTTCAACACTAGTCATGGAGAGATTCTCTTCACAGTGAGTTAAGTCTGAAGTAACTGAGGATGAGTCTTTGGCAATCATCTTATGCTGAACCTTCTTTTTCCGCTTCCTCTCTCTAATTTTGTCACCAATGCTTTTCTTATTTACCTCAACCAAGAAAGCATCCATCTCCATTTCCTCCAATGTTTTAGTGTCAACATTATTTCGCTAGTCTATTATGGTATTAGATAAATCAATATTTGATATCGTTACCTCTGGCAGTACCTCTACAATCGCTTCCTTATCATTCTGTGGTTGTTCACCCACCACCAAGGAACTCTGTTCCAATATCGTGAGTCTAGCCTCAAGTTTCCTATTTTTTTACTCTAGTTCCTTAACTCTAACATCACGCCTGGCATTCTCCTCAATAATCTGCCTCAGTTTCACGATCTCAGCATTTTCTTGCCTAAGTAAGTCAATCTCAGATTCCATTTTTGATAACACTTTTATACAAGTATTCAAAGTAAAAAAGTCATTGTGTTCGTTCCAATTTGAAACACAGATCACTTTTGCCAAGAAAAAATGGTTATTAATATACACAAAAAATAAATACAAGTTTGGGACGTAGCCTGTGATACATGCTATAATTTCGTTTTACAAAGTGAAATGTTTCTATACTAATGCCTAAGAACTACACCAGTTTTTTACAACCTATACTAATACATTATCTTAACATTAGCTTCTTCATTTGCCATAACTGATATTCTAGATAATATAAAACAGTCGTCAGTTATACTTATACGAGATATGCAGTGACAGAAAATAAATCAATAGTTCATAACATTAACCTTACGCCGAAAGGTTATGTCATTTGCAATCTGTGATTCTAGTAAGGCTTTCAGGAATCTGTATGAGAAAATATCATTCGTTTGCAAGTCTTAGAAAATTTCTCCTGTAAAGTCACAGCCTAAAAAATATATTTCATTCATACCTTAATTGCGAAATGTCTCGTCCGTACTTCAATAATTTTTTTGTTAACACTTTTTTCAAACTACGATAGGTCAGTTTCTTTTTAACGAGTTCATAATATTCATGCTTACAAATCTCGAAGAAAATCTTTTTAAAAAAAGCATTCAACCCATAAAAGGATTAAAATATTGTCATAAGTAACGTAAGTAACTTGGCTGTCGTACTATTTTCTGATTTAACAAAATCTGTGATCTTTTTCTATTTAAAAGATTGATAAGACGTTACTTCAAAAAAACCACTCTGATTAGTCAAATACGGTCAATTGTATGACCTAAAATTACGTAATATTAATTCATCCTTTTTAATAAATACCGCTGAGAATCAGAGAATCAAATCTAATGAACTGTATTAATCATTTTTTTTCATGTACTGATAAATTACCTTTTTTACTATGCTTATTAATTTTGGTCGAAGTATCTATATTATTTGCTGTATTACGTCACTACAAGCCATAAAAAGTTTATGCAAGAGTCTATATTACAATGTATTCAGAAAGGTATATAAAGTGTATATACCTTACCTTTTCTTAAAGCTCTCTTAAAATCTCTCTTTTAATCTATCGCAGAAATATTCCCACAATGTCTTTTTCATTAAATTGTTTATTTCTAGGTGAAACTTCCTTTGAAAAAATTTTCCAAGTTACCGTTTCTGATATGATCTTCGTTGATAATGCTTACATTTCCATTGACAAAGTCCAAGTTGAACAACTTAAGAACCATATCTGGTTTACGAAAAGAACTAAATTTAATATTGATGATTCTAATAATATGAACCTTTATCAGGTTGATGTTGATAATGAAAGCAAGCTTATTAGTGTTTCTACTCAGGATGATATAAAGAATAGACTTGGAGGTACGATTTTATTATCACAAAAGTTTTTAAAAGTGAATATTTTCTGAAGAAACCTTCCCCTGATAATGTTCATATAATCATCTCAATCCCTACCTCCACTGGTAAGTGTCTTCCAACGTTTTACCTCTCGAACAAGAAATTTGCAGTCGAAACAATGATACGTATTCTCGTCGTCACATTTGTTAATATGCTTTCTCGCTCTCCATTAGAACTCAGAAGAAAAGACCTATCACGGAAGAAAGAAGTAAGAAATGCGTGATAGAAGCTTGTTATCATACTTAGTTATATGTTCATTCCATTATTCTTACTAATTTTTCTATACAGCCACAGAACTAAAGAGAAGCAAATGGGATACAAAAAAATGGAATACTAATGGTACTATTCGAAAAGTTCAGTGTGCTGGTGTCTATTTTGTTGATCCATTAGCGTTAAGTGAATTGCTTCTTAATAAAATTTGGGATGGTGAATTTATGGCATTATATGGTGCATGTGTCACTGGTAAAACTATACAGGTGTTTAAAGTTATGGAACAATTGGAAGAAGAAGGTTATCTTTGCTTATAGTAAGTTCTTATTCTCGTTTAAGCCATCCAATCACAAGTATCAGGTTTGCACATTGCATCTGTTGCTTATATGTCTTTTTTTCTTTGAAACAGTATATCTCTTGAGGTTCTTGATAAAGATAGCAAAGAAGTATTCTGGTCATTATTCGGCAAATGTCTCATTAGGACTACTCCTCAGCATATCAAAGAACGTATTAAGTCTGCTAGTGAATTTGCTGATTCATTTTTAAAAAGTAGGTGAGAAAAAAAGGTTGTTCTCTTCATAGACGAGTATGATGTAATGTATACAGTAAATGATGAAACTAGATCCTCATTTTTGAAAGTTGTTCATGGTATTAAAGCAAGAAAAGAAGAATATGCTATCTGATCTATCAATATAGTCAGCCCCTTCAGTATCTTATATCTGAGCTCAAAAGAAGTGACTACATCGCCATTCAATGTCAAGGAGCCATTCCAGAACCCAAACTTTACACAGGAACAAGTCCAGTCCTTATTTAATGAGTATATGAATGAGGAAAGGATAATCATTGATCAAGAGGTCATCAAAGATATCTACATGTAGACAAATAGGTATGTATAACTGGATGGAAAATCTAAAATTCATTTTTCTTATGATTCTATTATTTAATAGGCATGCTGGCTTTGTTACCAATTGCAGAAAAGCTATTTATGAGAAGTTAAAAAAAACACTTAATGAGAGTCCTACACTTAACATCTCAATCTGGTTGGATTTTACTGCAAGCAATCGTTTGGAAGAAGCAATACGTAATTATGAAACTTTCAGAAAGATGATCGAAAGATTTGTTGAGACGAAAATGTTCAAACCTGCTATGGACTTTTTTTGATCTTCATTTGCAGGATTTCTCAGTTCTATACAAATTAAAGATTCTGAAGAACAAAAGCTAGTAAATTTCCTTACAGCAGAAGGAGTGCTAACAGTAGTTAACAAAGATGACAATGTATACAGAATGTCATCTGCTTTTATGGATGAGCTGATGCGACAAAAAGTTATTTTAGATTTATATAAGTCTTGCCCTGAAAGTGCAATCCCTAAAAAACATGATAATTCTTTAGACATTCTCAATATTTTGCAGATTGCCATCCAGTTCTTTAATAGAGATATCATTTTTAAGGCATTTGATAGGTCATATAAAATTGCAGATGATTTGTATGTTGGCAGTAAAAAAAAGAGCCAAGTTTCTCGAGAAAGCGTATACGATACAGAGCTGGGCAGGATTCTGTTTAATTGGCTCATAAAAAAAGGTGGGCATGAGGTCACTGGACAGTAGCATATGGTAGAAAAACATGACGGTAAAAAAAATAAGCACTCATTTAGCGATATATTAATTACAACATTTCGCCAAAAAATTGTTCTTGAGCTTCTTGCCACTGTAACGAAAAAAGAACTCAATGAACACTTTGAAAGGGTTTTTAAGTATGCTAAACTATTATCTGTGGACGAGCTTTGGATAGTTCACTTTACGTATGAAGATGATTATGCAATTCAGAAAAATCTTTAATGGTTATCTGATGATAGAATTAATATTATACACATCTTTTACGACTGGAAACTTAATGTTCTAATGAATGCCTGATATGCAAGTAGCGCTGATACCATAGAGTATATGGTAGATTAGGTTGTACCGTTACAATCCTAGTTAATTTTTTATATATAATATTATACAATAACTTTAATACTTATTAGTTTTTAATAATATTTGGGAAACTGTAAATATAGCTATCATATAATGCTATTTGTAAATAAAATAATTCATACATTACAAACTTTGGTAAATTTTACTAATAAATACAATGAGTAAGAGTAATAAATAAAACATGTGATAGGAAGGGAGTATGCGGATCCTAGACCATTTAATGCGAGTCCATAAATTCTATACTAATTTTTTCCTTCATCACTTTCACACATGAATTATTTTTATGATACTACACCTAATATACGCGTGATGTACCCATATACAAAAACAAGGAGGTACTTTTGTAGTATATGCGGGAAAGTTCAAGAATAAATTACATGTAATTACTTGTTTCTGGAATACATAATATCTAATATTACTGCGCATTTATTTATCAAGTTCAGATTGTATATTCAATCACAACTTTCATATAGGACGCAATTCATTTTATCTAAGTGGGACTTTAGGTCTCACTTTTTTTATTCACTATACATATCTATATCCCACACTTGATACAATGTATAACATTTTTGGCTGAATTCTTTATTGATGTAGTAAATAAATCACATGATTCAGAGAATAACGCCTGTCAGAAAAATTTGCCAGGAAAAAAGTTTTAATATATATGAAAAATAAGTATAAAGATGGATGATACACGATAGTTCTATGCTAAATAAAGGACCTATACTAAATATATATTTTTTCACTGACTTCAAGTATGAGAAGTTGACTCCGCCCTATAATCAAAGATTTATTTCTCAGCTTTTCCATGCATTATCACATCATAGGTGCAACTGTGAAGAATCTTCACAATCAAAAATCACAAGTATTCAGCAATCTCAAGTCATTTCCTCATCAGTGATTATTGTAATAAAAAATTTTTATTTGATACACGCGAGAAATAAATACAAAAGTTCAGATCTCTACCTGTAATATATGAAGTTATTACGTTACTACGTTTACCTTCACGAGATTACTCAATGACTTTATCCTTTCATTCTTCTCTACATTTTTCCGCATCTGTTATTACCCCCATATATTATCCATATTGTCATGCTTATTTTGTGTTTGCGAGATAGTGAAGACAATCTGAACGGTGACTATACAAAGCTTTATCTTTTTTGGACAATAGCTTGATCAAATGTCAGTCTTCATAACCTTCAGCATAGATGACATGTTTGATAAAAAAATTACGTGCTCGTGAACAATGTTCACGCTGATCACTTTTGCCAAGAAAAAGCCCTTGATCTAAGATCTTTGGGATGAAAACTTTCTACTATTTCCTTGCCTTAATGCGTAAAATACTTTATTAAAATAGTTAGGTTATCTTTCGAAGAAACATAGTTTTAAGAAAGCATTAATACATGCAAAAAATAAATACAAATGTTCAGAACGTAGCCTGTGATACATGACGAATTTTCTATGCTACTATATATGCTTATTTTTTCTTGATTATTTCTTCTACATAGCGCTTTTTAGTTGCAGGTTTCTCGCTACCTAGCGCTCTATCCTTTAATAAACCTACTAAAACCTTTAAAATCCTCTTTATATTCTTACGTAATTCATTTGAATTCTTGAGAGCGTCTTCTGTTAGTGAAATTTGATACTCAATCCTACTTGTACTATAGATACATTCAGTACTATGAAAAATGAATACCAGTCAGTTTCAATACTGACTATACCATAGACATAATCGTAATCAGGGATCGAACACTTTATTAGCCTTTCACTTTCTCCTAAGTATATCTAAGTTCATCTGGAAATGAAATACGAAGTTAATAATTTCAAATAATTAACCTCTGCGAACTCTTTTTTTTTTCATTCCACAGAACAAATAAAGTAAAAATGTTACCCACATCACACGCACTTCGACATTGCAATAAGTTTTGGCAGATACCCATAGTTACTTGATTCTGTTTGCCCTCGATTATGCAAATTATTTCTTCGAACAAATCGTCCAAGATTTTTTTGATTGTATAGTCAACACAACCAGTATTTATTTCGCCAGTTACTTTCATTTGAGGAGTAATTATTAAACCTTTGAGGAGACTCCCCGTTATGTGAAGTATTATAGAAATATACTCGCAATGCATAACCTCATTACTATCTACAACTGGTCTCATATTCCTTATCCTACGAAAGATATCATCAATGCAGAGCTTAAATTCTGAAGCGTTTTCATCAACCGGACAAGTAACTGGTTTGAACTGTGGAATAAGAGTAATATCCTCACTCGAGATTTTATAATCTTCTTGTAATACCTTCTTCAAGTTCACCTTAGTCTTGTATGAGGAGAACGCTTTTAATTTTTTATTTTTACACTCCTTAGCGAAGTCCGCAAAATCTTTCGCAGGTCCTAATTTCAATCCAATACCTTAAAGTTCTTCTTTAGTTATCTTGAGAAAGGTATGACCTTTAAGCTTCTGTTTGCGAATTATTTCTAAGTCATCGTCGTCAAGTCCCAAGTCCTTCTTCCCACGCAAAAATTCGATAAGTTTTTCTGTATCATATTATTTAATATCGTCCGCTAACGAGACTGTCTCATTTCTAACAACAGAAGTAGAAGTGGAAGCTGGAGTATAAGGTATACTAGTTTCAGACATAGTGTTACATTTGTATAGGGATATTGGGCTCAGATAAAAAAAATAGTGTTACGTTCTGAAGTAAGATGAAAATTTATTTCTGTTCAGAAAAGAGAATACTGAGCATTAATATCCCTTCAAGCGTTTTGCAGGCAAATTTGCCTGCAATTTTATTTAATAATTAAAATTATTTATAATATTTTTAAAGATTTTTAA